GAGCTCTCTATTGTGCCAAAACTGGTGATGAGTGGGATATTTATATCCATGCTCTCGATTTAGGTCCAAAAAGTAATAACGAAATCGTTGCCTCCTGTTCGTGACTCTCTCTATTTCGTAATAAATTGGCAAAAGCTGGTATTTTTTTTTTTTTTTTTTTCCAAGCGGTCATACCACAACTTTATTATTTTAATATAGATGGAACAAATTTTTACATTTGAATATCTAATTACAGCTAAGCTGTTTTATACTAAAGTGTGATTCACCCAGTTTCCAATTGGACCTATGTGTGACCTGCCAGAGCAGAAGCAGCCTTCTTGTTTCTCCTAGATCTATCTCAGATTTCGGATTCACATATCACTAGCCGGGATTTACTAGCCCGTCATGACCACATATTCCTTCTTATAAACTTCTTCCACCTAGATCCGGGCAGAATAGTTTATCTCTTACTTTTCTATAAGGGAAAAATATATGCCGAATTTACCAAAAAAAAACAAAATTTAGGAAAGAAAGAGACAAAAACAAACAAAAAAAAGAAACATATATGAAAAAGTATGTCTTAAATAAGATTTCATCGTAAAGGGAAAAGGATAGAAAAAGCACAAAAAGGGACAAGGTATCATGACATACATAAAAGAAATACAAATGCACTATTATAACCCGTACAAGGCTGATAAAAATTGTATAACAACTGCAACCGTTGTATATCTCTAATAATCTTTTCTTTCCAACTTAATATTCCTTATTGGATATCTCTTTAACCTGGGACCTGATCTTGTCACGTGGAGTAGCTCCGTATTTTCAAATAAACAAACACATGGTTGCAATCTACCGAGTTCGTCCGAAAATGGAAAGTAAACAATACCGATCTTTTGGAGGGGGTAAGCCAAATCCCCACTTTTATGAAAAAATTTTAAAAAGCCGGCAGGAAAGTGGAAGTAAGTAAGTGAGGAGTTACTTGGCCGAAAAAAAAGAGTGTGGCTTGAGAAAAACAAGTTCTTTACTGTTCCCCAGTTATTTCACAACAGGTTACTTCGTCGACAGAAAAAAACCATAATCCCCACCGAAATTTCATATACAAGGGCACACATCCCCAGCCAGTTATCTTGTATAAAGGCGCTTTCGGTTTGCATGTCGAATATATAAAGGAGTCCCCACAAGAAAACAAAAGGTTGACCTTTATAAAAACCGTACTGTTGTCCACCTACTACAGGTCTTTCCACTTCTCCAATATCCAAACTTGATTTTTCTTTTATGAGAAATTTTGGTTCAAGTGATCGTCGGAAAAAGAATATTTAGATATATTACCGGCAAAAGCTAGTATTGCTCAAGAACCTATTGATATTTATGCTAAACTTCTGGGTATTACCACGGCTTCTAACAAAATTCAGAAAGAACAGACTGAACAAGATGTAGCCAATAATCAGTTAAAAATTCCACCACATTTCTCCTTAGAAAAAGGACTTAAAAGAATTCAAAACATTGATACTACCAAAGATCCCTTATTACAGGATCTCGCAGATGTAATAGTGATGTTGTGTATGAGACCTACTGAAGTATCCAGCCTCCAGATTGATCACTACGAAGTTGACCTATCTAATCCTTCTGCATGGTATAAAAATGGTTATTTTTGGTATTGCACTGGATATGCTAAGAATAAAGGAGAAAATAAGGATAATCCAGAACCTCGTCCATTCCTATCAATGGAGAAGAACCCAGAACGTGCAAGAGCATTGCTTATCTGGATTCAAGAGGCTATAAAGGCCGGAAAGTTAAGTGATCCTACCTTTAGTAAAAATGGAAAGCGCAATACTAGGGCATTTAGCAAGTTTTTGAAGCCTTATAAAATCACGCCTAAAATATTAAGAAAAATAGGAGGAAAGCATGCCTGCAGAGTTCACGGTGGTCCAAACCCAACTCATCAGCATCTTGATCTTCTTAACAGAATAGCATTGAGGCATAAGATTGTTCGTCTAGATGCAGGAAAGAATTATGCTATAGGCGATACAGAATCAGAAGACTCTGACCTCGAATCCGAATCTGACCAAGCGCCTAGCCCAATCTCTGGATCTCAGGCCTCATCATTCCAACCTAAAAACAATAATTCTAATCCCTTCGAATCTCAAATA